ATATAAGGTAGGATTTGCCTCTTTCATTTTGCTATTTGTTTTCTGCATATCATGTCTTTTTGTTTTTCTGTTTCTGTATTAGTGCCTTTTGTGTTAACTGTTTTCTAGTGTACCATTTTAATTCCTTTGTTTCTATTACTATATTTTATAGTTATTTTTTTAGTGATGGTTGTTCTGGGGTTCACAATTAACATCTTAGTTTATAACAATCTAGTATGTATTAATACCAATTTAATTTGAATAGCACACAAAATTTCTGCTTCTATTTAGTTCCATTCCCTCTCTTCTTAATGATTTTATTGTCATACAAACTACATCTTTATACAGATAAGCCTCATCAACACAGTTTCATAATTGCTGCTTTATGTAATTTTATTTGAAATAAGGATGGAGAAATAAGAGAAAAAAATTTATACTGTCATTATATTTGTCTATGCAGTTTCCTTCCTGGTGCTTTTTTTTTTTTTCCCATATGAATGTGAATTGTTGTCTAGTGTCCTTGCATTTCAACTGAAGGATTCTCTTTAGTATATCTTGTAGGGAAGTTGTGCTAATGACGAATTGTCTGTTTTTGTTCATCCAAGAATATCTTAATTTTCCTTCCTTTTTGAAGGGAAATTTTTGTCGAAATTGAATTCTTATTTGAAATAATTGAAGTGCAATATGCAAATATTCTGAAATTCCTTCAGCACTTTGAATAAGTCATCTCACTTCCTTGTAGCTTCACATTTCTGATGCAAAACCAGCTGTTAATCTTATTGAGGATTTTTGGTACCTGCTGAATCACTTCTCTTGTGTTGCATTAAAGATTCTCTCTTCAGCTTTGTCTTTTGAAGGTTTGATTATGATGTATGTGGTTTGGTATTCTTTGAGCTTCTTGGATGTGTAGATTGCTTTTCTTTAAATTATGGAAGTTTTTGTCCATTATTTCTTTGAATATTCTTTCTGGCCATGTCTCCTCTTATTCTGGGGCTCCTATTATATCTATGTTGTTGTGCTCAATGGTTTCCCACAGATCTCTGAGATTCTGTTCATTTTTCTTTATTTTTTCTTTCTGTTCCTTAGACTGAATAATCTCAATTGACATATTTTCAGTTTCACTTATTCTTTCTTCTGCTAGCTTCTCTAGTGAATTTTTCATTTCTTTCATGTACTTTTCAACTCTAGAATTTCTGTTTGGTTCTTTTAAAAAACAATTTCTGTTCATCTGTTGCTATTCCCTCCTTGATGAGACATTATTGCCATGTTGCCATACTTTACTTTAGATATTTAGACAAGGTTTCCTTTAGTTCTTTGTACATATTTATAATAGGTGGTTTAAAGTCTCTGTTTAGTAAGGCCAACTTCTGGGCTTCCTCAAAGACAGTGCTATTGACTGCATTTTCCCCTGTGTATGGGTCATACTCTTGTTTCTTTGTATGTAATATTTTTTTTGTTGAAAATTGAACATTTTAAATAATATAATATGAAACTCTGTAAACCCCTATTTCTCATGGTTTATTGTTTGCTCTTTTTGTTGTTTGCTGTTGTTCTTTGTTTGTTTAGTTACTTTCCTGAGTTAAAGTCTGTGTTCTTTGTCATGTGTGACCACCAAAGTCTCTGCTTGGTTAGCTTCATGGCTTGCTGATGACTGGATTTATATATCCTTAAATGTCTTGAACCAATAAGTCTCCCAGTTTTTGCTGAAGATCTCTGTGGCTTGTTGGGGCATGTTTTCTATGCCCTGCAGGCAGTTTACAACTCTGTCTTAGCCTTCACTTCCAACTATCCCAAACCTCAAGGTCAGCTGGAGGTGAGAGATTAGGGTTTCATCAAGTCATTTCTGGGCACGTGCACAGCCCTGAACATGTGCTTGATCCTCTAAATTGCCAAGAATATATTATAGCTTCTCAAAGACAGCATCCCCCAACCCCCACACATCCATATACATGATTTTCCAGCTTTGCCTTTTAAGTATTTTGATCAGGTTATGGTTTGCCTCAATTGTGATCACTGCCTCAGGCATCTGTGGTGTTAAACAATTGCTACTGATTGTTTTTGACAATTGGCTTGGGGAGAAAGGCTGTTTGTATGAGTGAACTGCAATTCAGGTCAAATAAAGAGAATCCCTGTGAATGAAGGTTTTCAGGGTACTGTCAGATCAAATAATGACAGTACCCTGGGGATGAGGCTTTTGGGTAGCATTAAACCTGTTCTCCTCCAGTGTCTGTGGTACTGCTGGTTTTCATGGCTACTATAATTCTAAGGATTTTGGTTTCAAGACTGCAGAAGACCTGAGTAGAGATTGGGAGTAGAATACATTAACACACCATAATATCACTGTTTTAACCAAAATTCAGCTGTTTTTCTCCAATAAATACTCTTCAGATTGTTGCAGATCTCTGGTTAATTTCTAGAGCTGTAAAAAGTTGATTTTGGCAGTTGTTGGTAGTGTTCTCTTTTGCTTTTATAGAGGGGCTGATTTTTGGAGGTTTTTGGTCTACTATTCTGAACATACTTTTTCTATGTGTCTTTCTCTTGAAAGTGATTTTTTTGCAGACAACAAAAAAGTGTTTTGCTTTTTTATCCAATCTGAACAATTTCTGCCATTTAATTAGAATGCTTAGAATATTTGCATTCATGTAATTATCCATATGGTTGTTTTAAGTCAACTGCTTTGCTTTTTATTTTCTATTTGTTCCATCTGATTTTCTTTACCCACCCTCCTTTTCTGCTTTCTTTTTGGAAAGCTGGTGGGTGTTCTTTTAAAGCATGGCAGAATTTGTAGAATTCTCAGGCCTTCTTGCATATATTACACATTGGAAGGAGAGTCAGTAGTTTCTAGTAGGACAATTAGAGCAGCTGCACTGCTCAATAGAAATAGAATATGAGCGACAAATTTGAACCAAGGATGTAATTTTAAATTTTTTACCAGCTACATTAAAAAAAAGTTTAAGTAGATAAATTAATTTTAATAATAATTTTATTTAAATCAATATATTCATGGGGCGCCTGGGTGGCTCAGTCGTTAAGCGTCTGCCTTCGGCTCAGGTCGTGGTCCTGGGGTCCTAGGATCAGGCCCCGCATCGGGCTCCCTGCTCGGCGGGAGGCCTGCTTCTCCCTCTCCCACTCCCCCTGCTTGTGTTCCCTCTCTCGCTGTGTCTCTCTCTGTCAAATAAATAAAATCTTTAAAAAAATCAATCAATATATTCAAAGTGTTAGTTATTAATGAGGTATTTTATGCTGATTTTGTAATAAGTCTTCAAAATCTTTTTGAACAAGTTGTCAAAATCTTCAGAATCTTGTATTTTACACTCATTGTCCATCTCAGTTTTAGACTAGCCACAACTATAAGCATAAGTGGCTTGCAGCTACCACATTGGATAACACGGAGTTAGAGGGATTCTAACAGGTTTGATTTTAATGAGGCAGGGTAGGAAATGAGGGTGATGGACAGCATGAGATTTGCTGAGGACCTTGATTTTAATAGATTTTAATAATCAGTGGGGAATGTATTAGGACAGAAGTGGAAAACAGAATAAGAGGGAGATGGAGTCAAAATATCTGGCACAGAAAATAATCTTAACTGCTATGTACAAAGAGACATGAAGTCTTATTTATTCAATGTAGTTATTTGTGTTGAGATGACAAATGATAATGATATTCAGTCTAACAATAACTGTAGCTAATATTGGTTGAATGCTCTGTTAGGCACTTTTCTAAGCACTTTTGAATGTATTGTATTGATTCATTTACTATGTCATTTTAAATAAGTAAATCACTTATACTTTCTTGGGGCTCTGTTTTATCATATATAAATAATCTGAAGCTGTACTTGATAATCTCTAAGCTTCTTCTAAATACCAAAAGTCTGTTTTTGGATATATTGATGAGGAAAATAAAGTTTCTGTTCTCAGAATTATAATTACAATATAAGGGAATTATCATTAAAAGAGGTGGGATGTACCCACTTAATTAAAATGCATGGAGACAATAATTGGGCCTTAAGAGAACTACAAAATGTTATGAGAATCTAAAATGTATTTACTTGAATATAGTAAATTCATAGTAAATCTTTGAGTTAGATGGAATTGAATAATGATAGCTGGTGAGTCAAGAGGTTTTGTGTAAGAGATGCAGCTGATTGATGTAAGCCTTGGGAAGTGATGAGTGTAAATCAGGAGGAGATGGAATGGAGTGGTAAGGAGTAGTCATCCAGATAATGGAAGAATGTAATGTGTGTGTTCAGAGGACAATAAAAATATACTTTGACTGTATTATTGGGGAGGCATTGAGTAATATTACTATGTGGGTAGGTTGGATTCAAATCTTAGAGAGCCTTTAATATCTCTTTAAGTGTATGGTTGATCACTGACTAAATGAAATATGGCAGGGACTGGGGAGACTGCGATGTAGTTTTTAGAAACCCTACATTTTGTGCCTATATTTTCTGTCAATCTTGAGGCTAATTAAGTGCAGTTTCATATTTAAAAAAAATTTCACTGGGCTAGAAACTTATAATTCACTAGCTTTGAAACTTTGTCATGATTGCTTTTGATGAGGGTGTGTACAGGCTGCTATTTAGGGTGATATAGGTCAGATTTGTGTTTTTTATCGCTATTTTTTTGTGTCCTTTAGGATAGTGCTTTGTTTCTGCTGAGTCTTAATCCTTTGTGATTAAATGATGCTGAATAAGTTTATGTCAGCATTCAGCATAAAGTGGGTGCCTAAGGCTGACTGTTTAAAACTGTTAGTGTCTGTCCCAAGAGCCAGTACACAGAGCTTCAAATGTGGCACAAATAACCAAATGGAGAATCATAGATTTCTCAGGGGGATGGAAGTTATAAAGGCATTTCATTGAACTCTGTAAACATTAGAATTTCTCTCTCCTTTTTTTATTTGTGTGTGTTTTTATTAGCTTAGCAGACTACTGTTTTTATGTAATGCCTTGTAAATTATTTTAGTGGGATAGTTCAGGGAATTCATAAAGCAGTTACATCTCTCTATCTAATTTCATTCAGGTAACTTGTCCAGGAGTGGTGCTGAAAGACAAGGAGGACATCTATCTTAGCATCTGTGTGTTTGGCCAATACAAAAAGACACAATGTGTCCCAGCCAATTTTCCACTGGTCTTCAATGCCAGAATGGTGTTTGAAAAGGTGAGTTCAAATATTAACAAATAATCATAGTACTTCCAAATTTTTAATAAAAGCCCAGAACACAAATTATTGTTGCTGACTTTATACTTTGGTTTCATTAAAAAGGAGATATGTAATTTAAACCCGGAAGCTTGAAAATAAATATGCATTCTGTTATGCATTGAATCAGTTGCCTCTTTTCATGATGGATCAGCTTATTTCTAAAATTATGTTAGTGGGCTTTATGTAAAATAGAGCATCTTGAGTATTAAATAATTTTTATAAAAAAAGAGAGAGAGGAGACATTAATGGGTAAAAATAGGTTTTATTTTTACTATGGCTATCTTATGAAACTTATTTCTATGAGTTTCTTTTCTATTTTTCCCTGAAACTGCTGCTTTTGGTTATTCCCAATCATATTCCTCACTTTTTTATCTCCTTCTTTCCTTCTCTGCTTTCCTCCTTCCTTCCCTCTCCTCCCATTCCTTCCTTCTTTTCTTCCTTCCTTCCTTCCTTCCTCCCTCCCTCCCTCCCTCCCTTCCTTCCTTTCTTTTCCTTTTCTTTTGCAAGGAAGTACCCACGTCCTGCTCTGTTCCATGCACTGTTCTATAGGCACTGGGTAAACAAGACAAACAGCCTCCTCTCTTGGAGCTTTCACTGTAATAGGAGAAACAGGCAATAATCAAGTAAACAGGAATAATACAATTTTAGATAGTGATAAGTGTCATGAAAAAAATAAAGGGAGGGCAAGGGGACAGAGAGGGGCTGAGTGATCAGGGGGATTATCAAATTTAAAGGGTGGTCAGAGAAGGCAGTAACATTTAAACTGAACCTGAATTATGAGATAGTTATCAGTTATTCGAAGGTCTAGGGGAAAAGCATTCTAAGCAGAGGAATAGCAAATATAAAGCCTTCTTGTTGGGAATAAGCTTGATGAGTTGGAGGAGCACCAAGAAGGCCAGTATGACCAAGGAAACAAGCAGGGCAGGAACTGGAGGTAAAGAGGAAGCATAGGTGAAGTTGGAGAGGGCACGACAGCCGGCCATAAGGTATGTTTAATTGTCAAATCCTCCATAGTGATCATGGGAAGCAGAGACGAAGTGACAGTCTTCAGTAACGCCAGAAGTTTCTTTGGTTGGGAAAGGAATATTTGGGGAATGAGAGGGAAAACACAGACTGTTGTTTCCTGCATACGTTCCTTTCCCTTCCTCGTCTTCACCTTGCTTCCCTCTCTGTTCTCCCGCTCCAGGTGTTCCCTGAAGCAGTAGACCCTGGAGATGTGGTTGCACAGCTTGAATGTAAGTTTTTAACTTTTAATTCCTGATTCTAGGGCATTTTAGAATTATGCTTCTTAATCTTGGGTTAGGTAAAAGTTAAAAAGAGTCTACTAAGAATTTTAAAAATCTTGAGTTGAGACTTTTTAAACACTTTTTAGAAACATTTTTCAGAATATACCTAGAAATAATAAAATATACATGTGCTGCGGAGAGGCTAGGAGTTTTTCCTTTTTCTGTGTTAGATCTGTGGAAATCAAAAAGACTTATTTGAACCTTATATTGATTTAGATGATATGAAATGTTTTTGATATAAAGATAGAGATTCACGTTGGGTGGGGCTTTGCCCTGCGAACAAGCCTATGTCTTTAACCTCAGGGTATTACAAATTAATAGAGTAAATAATAGAAGATTGAAGTAATGGTAGCTTAAAATTATATATGACTTGCATTTTATATTGCATCTAATATGTTGGTAAATTATTTGAAGTGACATTTTCAAGGCTGTGAATAATAGTAAATTCCTCAAAGTACTAGGAATCAACTATAAAAAGATACAACTGTTTTTGAGAGCAGCAATGCAAAGGTATATATATACTTGGGAATAAGTTATTCAAGCTCTGGGTATGAAATGAAAAGCTCTGTTATTTATCCTTATAATTAGAGAGGGATCTGAGATCACCAGTTTGGTCTAATATATAACTGTGGTTCAAACACCAACAATATTGGGCATCATCAGTGTCACCTGTTCTTCCCCCTTCACCCCCCCGGGACTCCAGCATTGTAGAAACATGGAACCTGGCACCATGCTGGAATCTGGGCATAGGGAGAGAAATAGGGCCAGCTTACTGTCTTACCTTCATGAATCGTACAGTTTAATGATTCTTCTCCAGAGAACTCTTTATGGCCAGTGTCATTATCTTATTTTTTAATAGTTGTTCTAGCACTTGCTATTCTATCTTTCACGGTGGTAGATTAGGTAGGTAGCAGTTTGGTGCCAGTAGGTAAATGCCTTTTTTTAAATAACATTACATAAATGTTAATATTTCTTGAAGATCTTCTTCAGTATCTGGGAAATTGTGTTGTGTATCTTAGAAAATATGAACTCTAATATCTAAATATCTAAATATTATCTAATATCTAGATATTGTTATCCCATATCTAAATATGAGATAATTATTTCATCATTCTGAAATTCTTTTGTTTGAAACATGATTTTTTTTTTTTTTT